TTTTTTTTTTTTTTTCCTCAGTCAGATTGTTGAAATCATATTTGGTATGATATTTTTTAACAAAAAAATCATTGTGGTTCTGTCCATTCCACACAAATTAATTGCATGATATTTATTTGGAGAGAGAATCTGATTTTATGGAGAGTTCTCTTTATATGGAGAGAATCAATTTTTTATGGAGAGAGAGAGAGATACTAGGTGATAAAGATATTTATATCGTATAGACGAAATAAAAAGCACACATCATAATCCACTTTTGATTAATGTTTACACAATTTGTATATATGTAAATATTTCTACATGGGGGTCTATATATGTAATTTTCCCTTAGTTTATTATATATTAATAATTGTGATGACCCTTGTCTCATTTCTTTTTATTTTATTTTATTTTATTTTTTTGTCGAAATGATTGATTTTATAAATAAAAAAGAGAAACACATAGCTTAGACAGACTATTAACGCACCCACAAGCACAAACAAACTAAAACTCTCAAGAAAAGAGAATCTAGTTCCTACGAGAGGAGAGCTAAACACAACAATACAACCCAACAACAACATAATACAACACTACACACAAAATAAAACAGAATAACACCCTCTTCTCCATAGAAGAAACAAACCGGGGCACACCACAACCCGACGCCCAGAGACAGTCCGTCCACTCGAATAGGACTCCAGCTTGAGCAGCGCTCCAAAAATTCCAGTGTAGCCACAACTAGCTGGATTAGCGTATGTTGACCAAAATCTTCTCCCAGACGGTACGGCCCTAAAGTTGAAACCGTGGGCGGACCCTCAACACCTCTTCTACCCCCCGCCTTTCTCGAACCCGACCAACCCAACCATTTGAACTCACAAACTCCCAACCAGCAACCCAACCACCAGAGATCCACAAACCACCAATCGCCACCCAACAAACCTCAGCCCATTGCAATCAACCCCCAGCCCGAACCACTAAACCCGAGAAGATATGACAAAAGAAAGGGACGAAGAGTCATACCTCAGCCCCGACCAACTATGGGGAGCCTGATCAAAACCCGTTGGACGTCGCCAGTCGGAACCCCTAGTACCCAAAGCCTGGAACAATGGCTCCGAGAAAGGTCGCGCGAAGACCAACATCCGATGGAGATTCGAGACTCCTAGAGGGCCGAACGGCGCAGACAACGACGACCAACACCGAGCCGCACGGAGAGCTCTGCGAGGAGGAGGCGGCGCGGACAACGAACGAGTGCTCAAGCTAGGTTTTGGAAGAGAGGAAATTGGGGATTTTCTTGGGAAGTGATGGACATTTTTACCCTTGACTCATTCCACATTATGCAAATTTTTACTTTTATTTCGGCTAAATTTCATTTTCAGTACACTATGTTGGTCATTTTTTGAAAATGGTCCATCATATAGGGCGTATTCAAGAATGGTCCACTAAATTGTTATTTTAATCAAAACTCGTACAAAAGCCAAAATAGTGTACTAAATATGACAACTAAAAATGCTCATTTTTAGTACTTAATGTACGAATTTTGATTAAATTGGCAACTTAGTGGACCATTCTTGATGACGCCCTAAATGATGTACCTTTTTTGAAAAATGACCAACATAATGGACCATTTTTTAAATTTTGCCCTTCTATTTCTATTGTAGATTTGTAGTGTTGGTGAATACCCACACTTGAGCTCCAGCATAATAATCATTTTGAATGCAGACTTCATATTGAATTGGCCTTCTTTATTTACTAGTTTGCCAAAATATAGAATGTGCTGCCCGGCCAACCAAACAAACCCACCCCATGTCTTGATTTGTAGATAGTTATATCCATTTATATTGTAATGCCTATGGCTATGTGCTATGAAGCTAATACACACCATCATACATATCATTCCTATTGGTAACCCCATACAGATCATTTGTATTATTGTACATTTAGAAACCCCCAAAAAAAAATCTTAGTTGTCCTTTTGAATGTCCTATCACATACTATGTATTCTATTTTTTTTGGTTCTCAATAATAAGTCTATAACCAGATGCTTTTAGACCATCTCATCTTCAGTAACACTTCTAAAAAGAACTTCCATCTATCTACCTTTGGTAAATAACACACACATATATAGAGAGACAGAGAGAGAAAGCAAATGCAGAAAACAGTTAACACATCCTGGGCATAAAAAAAGTCAGACATGGTACACCATCCCCACCTCTAACGTCGACTCATGAGCTCCGCTGAGAACATAGGCCGGGGCTCGACAGTTCCTCCTCAAGAAATCGTAGCCCAAGTTGATCACAATCTTCTTCACCCAACTCGACCCTGCCTTGGCCCTCACGTGCGAGTGCCCCAAGATATACGCCAACCCTGCCTCCCTACCCTCCATCAGCTCCCTCAACTCTTCCCGGGCCCCAGCATCCATCTTCGGTCCCTCAGGTATCACAAATCTCACTCTCTTTCTAACCGACGGGCCCGCCCCATTTCCCTCGTCCACTCTCACCCCATCCGGATGAGTCGAGGGTGTCCCCACCACCACCAAATCCTCCTCCTCCTCCTTCTCATCCCGGCCCGACCCGGCCCGTATATATTCCGCAATACTGCAAATGAGATCATTTTCAAACTGCAAGTCGTCTTTATGCGCATCCCGGTACCCGTAACGGACAATGCAGCGATAAATTCGATGCTCTCTCTTCCCCACCCGCCCGACCAAGAACCGCTCCTCGGCCCGAACATGAGGGATGGGGACTGACTTGACGCACAAGAAAATGAGCACTTGGTGGAAGGCCGGGAGGTTGGTGACAAAGTGGGAGAAGATGGCGGGGATGCCGGAGACAAGGTCAGTGTGGATGAGCCCGATGCCACGAACACGCACAATGCCGAGCCCTGGCCCCACACCAAGGAGCCAGTCGACTGGGACCCGATTCTGGACGTCGAACTCGTACTTGCGGAGGGTACCATAGTGCCACACGGACATCGTGGCCATGGCCGCCAGGGAGATGGCAATCGGGACCCACGCACCTTCTAGAAACTTCACGAGCGATGCTGAAAAGTAGAGGGCCTCGACCGAGCCGAAAAAAAGAACGAAACAAATGGCGATGCCTATGTTTCGATGCCAGCAGAGGACGATCACCAAGGACATCAGGCACGTCGTCACTAGCATCACGGTTATTACTGCAAGCCCTGATTATAAATTGGAAATTTTTTCACATATGAGAAAAATAAGGAGAAACGTCGACATTTAGGATATAGATGCTTCTTAAGTTAAGCTTGACTTTGTGTCTCACCTGAAGCATTGCCCATGCGCTTGGTATCTCGGAAACCGATAGTGACTGCAAGGCAGAGGAACATCAAAATCCAGTTGATTTCTGGGATGTAAATCTGACCATGTATTTTGGAGGAGGTGTGCACTATTTTCACTCTCGGAAAGCATCCTAGAGCAGAGCACTGCTTTATGATGGAAAATGTTCCGGTTATAATGGCTTGGCTCCCCACAACAGCAGCCATAATGGCAATCACTAGCACGGGCCATCTTAATTTCTCTGAAAAAAAAAAAAAAAAATATGAAATACATTTGTGAGAAGAAATCCACTTCAACTCATGTATTGCGCGTGTGTGTGTGTATATATATTTATGTGTGTGTTTTGGTTATTAACCTTAGAAAGAAGCAACTGGAGTTATTTACCAGGTACCGAGACGTAAAACCCGATACTATAATATTCTTTAATGTTGTGGTGTTGTGAAAGATAGGCAGCTTGCCCCATGTATGCGAGGATCAAAGATGGATATACAATGGACGTGAAGGCTATCTGCATATCTCATGATGAGTAAATGTTAGAACCAGAGCAATTTTAGAATAAGTGCTATTGATCAAAGTGAATTTGGAATAGAACTATTTTCTGATCTATCTCGTCCAAATACGTTGTCCCACCATCTATAAACTGCAAGAGGGTCCTTTCTCATGATAACAGTTAACAATAAAAGGACCATCTCTTTGTTTGATAAAAAAATTGATTATTTGCGAACACTAGATGAAAAGTCACCGGGAGCAACGAGTAACCACAGTTATGCACACTGTTATTCGTAAAGCTTTAGAGAATGAAACTACACAAATAATCCTGATTTATAGGCCAGAAAATTTATCTGGCAGCCAATCAAGCACAAAAGACCAAAGCGATTGACTGTTTTAACACGAGGATAAACCATAGTGGTAAGATGAACGCTTTTTGTTCTCTACCTTAATTGAAAGCTGAGAGAAGTGCCCAAGATCAGCAAACATCGCTTCTGAACCTGGAAATTTATTAACCGAAAAATATAAAAATATTGTCGAAGACAGACAAAACAAAAACTGTAAAGATTACTTTGCATGTGAATACTCGCCTGTTATGCACAACAGAATTCCTCCCAAGGACATCCAACCTCCTCTTTGGGTCTTCCTTAAAAATTTGTACATGTAATACGGGGACAGAGCTCTATATACGTGAGGGTTCCATCGGACAATATTGTAGAGACCAATAGCACTAATGCACAAAAGCCATGTTATGACTACAGGTGCAAACAAAAACCCAACCCTGTGGGTGCCATAATGTTGAAGGGCAAATAAGGCTATCAGTATTATACATGCAACAGGAACCTCGACATCTGCAAGATTAGACGTTAGGAAGCATATGAGTGTGTTACATATTACATTTCAAGATTCAAATATCAATGATATCGAGAAAATAGTTGAGGTAGGTGAAATCATTCACATAGTATAAGAACAAATTTCGATAGGATAAATTAGGAATATGTTTCCATTACAGACGGTTTTTGTTGTTGTCTACAAGATACAAGACGTGGAATACCATGATTCGGTTTGAAATGAGTGAACACTATTGGCTTTCAGATTATCATTGCCTAGTAGATAAAAAAGTTTGAATCTCCAAAAAATCACCACTCCTTTAACCGAAGACGGGGAAATATATTCCAAAACACTGCTTTTTTTTT